GGAGAAATAAATCTCTCTTCATTCTAGCACTATGAGATCATATTAATATTAAAAAGGGGCATGCCCATCTCTAGAATTACAGCTCAGGACACTTTTCTTTAAAGATCTGATGCATAAATGAAAAAAAACCCCAACATTATTCTGTCAGCAAATAAAGCAGTTACGGAGCTAGACTACCAATTCCTACTAGGTTCAGTTACGCTAAATGATCCGACTTTGACAGAACAGGAGCAAATCAGGGAAATCTGCATTCAAAAAAGGTGCATTGTCAGCTCTCACAGGAACCAATTCCCAGCTCTGGAATAATTTAAATGGATAGTAAGGAAGGTAGGACGGTGGAGGTTAATTCCCTGGACGATTTCCAGGTTACAGCTGAAATGCCCTGTGACACTATATCATTTTCACAACCCTTTTATGATTTCTCAGCATAAGCCGACACCAAACAAACAAACAGTCCCCATCTAAAAATGTCACCTTATTGCCACTGTGGAAAGGACAAGGTCACACGCTACCAGGGTCCATTTAATTATCGGGGTGGGGTGGGGTGGGGGGGTGAGTGAACAAGATGGGAGAACTGCATTCAAAAATACTTTGAACGAGTTGATGGAAGAATTTGCAGTACAAGTTCCTTCACTAGTGTGCTTTACCTGGAAGAAATTGCTTACCCTCAGTGCTGCCCCAACTGCCAGAATAAGCATATTCATACCCCTCCCAGGTTCAGAACGCTTTGATATCCCTTTGATGACAGGCTCGGTGTGCTGCTGTTCCCCCACCCCGCATCTCCTCGTTCGCATAGGCTTTTGGATGCTAGTTAATGCGTATTAGGGAAGAAAAAAGCAGAAAGCAAAGAAGCGAGGAGTGCCTTTTATTAAAGCTAATTTCTGAGGCCAAGCCACACTTCCCACTGCTGGCTAGAAGACTCTTGATACTATTAACTCTGCTCAAGCCTGTATCAGAGTGTTCTAACCTTTTATTAGATATTGATATAGGCAAGGAGGTAACTACTCGCAACATGCAATCTGGAACTGTCTAACTACATTTTACATCCTTCTTATTCCAATTGCAAACAAAAGATTTATTTCCCCCATCTTTTTCTTTAAAAAGAATCCATTTTCCAGTCAAAAAGCCAATGAGATGATGATACAAAAATGTCGATTAAAACTCAGCCAACACGACCCACTTGCAGAGCGGCGAGAGGGAAATTCACACCAACAAAATAAACGCTTTTCGAGGGCTACTTCACACCTTACTGGGTCAAAACCTTCTGTAGCAACGGAAGTTCTGGTTCTTAAAATTTTCCTTTTTTGCTAGAAACAGATGCTCTTGAAATTGTTCAAGTCAAGCGTAACACAAACGCGGCTATGCAATTGTAACAACACAGTGACATACGCTTTAGACCCTGGTATGCGGAGCTGCAACCTGACAGATAATATCAGAAATAGCACAAAGCTTATTACTCAAAATAACTCTTGCAATATTAAAACCTTCCTATCGATCAACACTGGGCAAGGGAGATTTTACATCAGCCTGCTTCCTCTTTATAAATAAATATGTAAGAGGCTGGTCTAGCTTTTGATGTGTGTGTAAACACAAAAGTTCACTAAACAAATATTTTTAACTACTTTGATGTAAGGAATAATGGAAACGACAGCCTGCACACATTAGAAAGTGTTTGGCTAGGAAAGGACTGTTTTCAGTATCAGCAAACAGCACAGACCTAATTAACCAGATGATTCATTAAAAAAAACAAACAAAACAAAAAACCCAAAGCTGGCTGGTTTGGAATACGCAGTTATTTCTCTTTAAGACAAAGATGTATTTTTCAACATAAGCTCTGCGCTGTGGGCTTTCGCCAGTCTCAGATCTGCACGTATTCCAGAGGAGTTTAAAGAAGCTCTGAAAATGGCAAAAAAACCCCAAACCAAACAGAACAAACTAAAATTAAAAAAAAAATGAACTAAAGAAATAGTTTCTGTGCTTCAATGGCAGTTTCAGAACAGAACAGAGTCTTAAATATTTATTACTTTTAACAGAGAGGTATGCTAAACCTGCTCTGAAGAAAATTGGTAATAGAAAGCCAAGGCCAAGACTTGCAAACTGCTAATTTTACTCCAGCTCAGTTTCCAGCTTCTCTTTTTTTTCTTTTTTTTTCCCCCCTAAACCAGATTTAGGAAATCAGGTTTGTGGTTAAAGAGAATGTCAGACCGCACCTATCCCAGTGATCTGGGTGCAGGTGGATTGTAGATAAAAGCAAAACACCAAGACTCAGAAGACAGCCATGGGCTTAAAAGACAGGCATAAGAGAGGCATACGGTAATCGTAACGCCTGGATGTCACAGCGTCATGTAACACGCTCATAAGGTTTGCAGGAGGGAAACTTTTATAATGGTCCTGCTACACAGACAAAAGAAAGAACACTTTTGAGCACCGACACCACCTAAAATCCAGAAACGACCATGAATTCAAAGCGTTTCCCTGAATAACTGCATTTCTGAGAGGATCCAAGAGAGAGTTTTTTAAAGTAATTAAGCTCCAAATAGGCAGTAGAAAGCAGAGGGTCTTTCAGAAGAGCCTAGGAACCTAGCAAGTCAGTAATTACAGTAAGAATGATGCAACTATGCACTTTTGAGACAGTTCACTTGTATTTGTTCTGAATCTCCAGGCTCTAACACCTTTAATCAATCTAGCCCTACGCTTCTTACTGTTACCAGATCACTGTTTTAAAGGGAGGCTGTTCCCATGCTGTCAGTGAGGTGATGGGAAACGGCATCGCGAGTAACATAACAAAATATCCTAAAGGAAAAGTCAAGTGTTCTTAGCTATATAGACAATGATTTAATCTATCCAAGTCCCCTCTGCAAGTATGACATTCATTTGTAAGGGTGCACGCAGGTATGTTATTCAGTTCAGATTAAAACTAAAGTGCAATTATAAGGTTATACTATATATAATAACAGTATGCGATGATACGAACTATATGTGGTTGCCCTCTGGTTTCTAATACTTGAGTTAAATGGATTTGGAGAGGAGAAAGGCAAGAAGAAAGGAAGCTTCAGAGCCCAAAACTGTTAGCAGAAATAGTTTGGGGCGTACTTGCTCAAGAGCATCCACAATCTTCACAGATACAATCACTTTGCCGGTTTGCAAAAGGTCTTTTTCCTTAACTGGAATGAAATGAAAAGCAGTAACTGATTTTGTAAACTCAACATGTGTCTGTTACCGCACAATCATCTACACCTTTCCTATAGGTATCTGTTACAACCAAGAACATCAGGGGAAATTCACAAAGATCCAAGCAAAAGCAAAGTAGAAATAATGGAAAGTTAAAACTGCAGTCTAGAATATGCCTGTACCACTATTTATCAGTTTATTCACTATAAGCACTTAAAGAAGCCATCCAGAACACATATGCTAAATTATTCTATTTTAATTACTCTTATTTTTCTGATAAATACTTAATTAAATGTCCTTATACTGCTTTTAAGTCCATCAAAAGGGTGCTTTTTACTCCTTTCCTGGCCCAGTATCTCGAGCCCATAAAAAAGACAACCGTAAACATACCTCGGGCTATTCTTCCTCCAAACCCAGATTCATTTGCAGCCTTGGTTTTGCTTGTTACTAGGAAAGACCTTTTTGCAGAGCCTGAAGGTTGTAAGCGTTAGCAACCTTACGGCAAAGCACTGTGAGATACATCAGACAAACAGGCTGAAAGAAAAAAAGAGAAAATGTCTTCTAGCAGGCATGCTGAGTCTTTTTCATCTGTAGCAAAAGCTGAAATTATTGATAGCAGAAAGATGATCATCATTTGATGGTGCCTTGCTGCCAACTCTCATAAGGACCTGTATTACAGCACCAGCTCTAATGCTTACGGATGTGAATCATCATCTTCACTTCAATGAGGGTATCCACAGTTGTTAAGTATAGGTCAGTAAGAGTTTTCAAAATTGCTTCACATCAAACATCTGCGGTCACACTGATTTTGAGAGAATGATGAAAGAAAATTGCATATAATTTTATTTTAATCATTTTAAAAAGATAAGCATGAAATAAAAAGTTACATTTCCTTAGCGCATTAGCATACAAGTTACAAAAGCAGTATTAAAAAGCTCTGTGCAATTAAAAATTACCTCTACCTTAAAATAAGAAATAACCTGGGTATCGCTAACACGTGAAAAACAGTTCTTGCACACAAACAAGGCCTGATTTTGAAACATGAATGCATGAAGATGTGTATGCATGTTTACGTAATGAACTTTTCGCAATAGCAACGTTTGCACATCCGGGTGACCGCACATCTAAAACCAATCTTCATTTCTCCAAAGACTGGATGCACGATCACTTGTATCCACAACTTGAGTTAAAAATACATGTTCATATCAAAACTGCACAAGCACAAACTATAGTTATGTTGAAATGCTGCTGAAAAGGTGAGCCTTAAATTATCAACAGCAGCAACATTAAATCCTGGTTAAAGATTTATTTGAAATAACCTCAATTTGACTTACTGTTGTAAAGATCATATGAATAAACCATGAACTTCCTAACACAGAGAAAGAAAGGATTAATTTTTACTAAAATGAACTATGTGTTCAGAAACAAGCAAAGCACTGAATAACTGCAGCTGCTAACAAAATCACAAAAGTGGTTTTAACTATTGCCGTCATCAGCTGATATGACTTTTTAATAGTACTAGAACATAAAGAGATCTAAAATTTTCCTTAGTAAATATTATTTTATAAGACATTTTTCTTTCCATAAATACTACACTGATGCGTACAATATTAATGTCTAATTCCTAAAGACTTAACAGAATAATCTTCATTACAGTTCCAAATGACTAAAATACTTAGTTAACTGAATTTTCATAAAAAGTTTTATGTAATTTTGACTTTGTATTTTTATTATTTTTCATTATTTTGAACTGCTTCCTACTTTTGGCATATTCTTTCCAAACACAGGTTTGGCTGTCCACCCATACCATCAGGATAACACTTCAGCCTTTATGACTTCTTAAGCCTTCGCAGTTTTAACCTCCTGAGACCATTTTCAACTTCCTTTTTTCGCTTTTGGATAAGCTTCTCTGAAGACACAGGCTGCAGTTCTAAGCAAGACGATGGCATCACAGGCAATTCTTCAGTGGTTGCGCTTGGCTCATTTTGGCTTGTCTGCACTATATTGCTCCTCACAGAAAGAGGCCGGGAGAGGTTTTTTCTCAAAGTTAGTGACTCCTCATCAGACATAGCCTTTGTCGTGTCTTGTTTCGAAAACAACCTGGAATCAAGTGGGGTCGTCTCTTCCAGGAATCGACCTAAACAATCATCATCGCACTTACTCATTTCTGTATTGCTAGGAATTAAAGGACTCCCTTCAGAGGACACTTTGCTGAAATGCTCTAACTTTTCTTCTGAACCACAGCTCTTTTGTTGAACCTGTGTTTTGGTCACTTTTTGACTTTGTTTTGGACCTAGGAGTGCTGACTCACAGCTACAAGGAGGGCTCTTGCTTAGAAGACTCGACTTCAACCACTCCACAGAGTGAGGTTTTTGCTGGCTGCTAACACCATCTGTCTGTCTCTGATTAACATAATTTTCCAGCTCTAAACTGGGACGCTCTAAGTTGCTCTCAGCTGTATTTATGCAGTCCTTTAGCAGTCCTGTACTCGTACATTTCACTCCAGATTGAAAACTGAGAGAAGCTCGACAGTCATTCTTTCTGTTCCCTGTCTGCGAGTCCACTGAGCCAAGATACACTTTCTTGGAGTCCTTGCTGATTTGAGGTTTGCTTGTGCTACTTTTCCTTGTTTTTGTCCTTTTCACACTGCAATAAAGAAGAACTTTGGTTTTAAACTAAAAAAGAATCTTCACTGCCTCAATCTGCCCTTCTTACAAACTCTGAAACACCACTAGGGCAACCTTCTTTCCAAATGTAGAAAAAAAAGCCTGTATATCATCCTGACAAGCAGTAATGTTTGTCTAGCGTGGATAATATCAAGCGTTATCCATCTGATTTTCCACTGCACTAGGGGAATCCTATTTATTAATGACTAAGCCATGAAGGAGTTCACATTCTATTCCAAGAGGCAGAACTGGATTCATTACAGATGTTAAAGGTCAACATGGTGTAAGTATATTGAATTCCTTCCCAAACTGGCTAGATAAAATAGTATTTCATAAGTGCCTAAATGATTTCAAACCATTCCCATATATTCACATGCATAATGTATATCTAAAGAATAGAGGGGGGCAGGCGGGGAGAGGCAGCATGCGCATCTCCGTGTGAGAGTTTCTAATCTCTATTTTAGAATGTTCATCTGGAATTTTTCCCAGGACATTTCAAAGCAATACTTTAAAGTTAACCACTACTCATCTAGTATCAAGCCCATTCATCTGGGAAGGACTTAGGTAATGCAAGGAGATGGTATTCTAAAAGGAATTATACAGGAAAATGGGATCACAAGGGATCCGATGGAGTGTCAGTACATAAACACTCCTCAGCAGCATGTTACCTACAAATCTAGATTTCACACAGTCTGTAAAATGAACTTTTATGCACAAGTACTAAAGCTGCCGATATAAGATTTTGAGTCCAAAGACATTACTGTAGAACGTCCCACCCTGAGACCGCTTTCTGCTGCTCCGCTGATGCCAAGCAGTTCCCAGGTCTGCATATCTAACTCTTCAGAAAGAGGGCTCTTCCAAAATAGGTAGAGCTGTCATACCTCCAAACCTAATCTCATTTCTAAAGACAACACAGATGAGAGACAACAGGGGTAAAAAGAAAAGCTGCCAGGGTTCACAGCAAATCCCTGATTCCACAGCTGATCTGGGGCTACTGGCAGCTTGCGCAAGTACGAATGGCATCCTGGTACAGCAGAGGACCAGTAAAATGCTCAGCTGAGCAACTAAACCCTCCCCATGTACTACACCAAGGGCACTCTTTGACTGAGACCAAAGATCCAAATTAATACCGTGGTACACTGCAGACTCTCAAAATGAACAAAAAATACATTTGTAAAATGATTTTCAGCAGATTCAAATGGAACACATTTATTTTGGCCCAGAGCTTCATTCAAGGAAAAAAACAGCCTGTTTTGATTCTGCCTAGCGCTACGGGAGATATCTATGTGGCTTGTAATAGCTTTTTTCATGCTGTACAAAACAACAACAATCATTTTATGTGTTTAGTAATTTAAAATAACCTTTTGTAAAGGAGTTTATATTATTTGATATTTTATTACATAGGCTAGATTCTATTTACCCACATTTTACCAGATTATAAATTTAACACCTTAGAAAGAATAGTGACATACATTTTTTTCAAGACGTCTTGCTTTATTTGTTCATTCAGACTAATCTTAAGCTTCTTGGTCTCAGCAGATTCAGTAAAATATTCAGACGTCCCATTGGAAAGTTCTTCTTTCTGCTCCAAAAGAAAACACAGGTTTAAAACACGACACATCAAGCTATGATTATTCAACATAAAACTCCATTTCTAATACTAAGACTTACAGATGTTCTTTATTATTTTGACCTGAGCAGTCTAAAGAGAAACAGAATTATTTTTAATCTTTTAATATTTGGGAGTCTAGTCAGTTCCCTCCCCTTTCAGACTCCCAGCGAACATGCTTCATATGCTAAAATATACCACAAACAAACAAGACTGTAATGTAAAGGATGTAGCTTTCCAAACCATCTGAGGAAACTGTTGGCAAATATTTGACATCTTTGTGGCTCAAACTGTGACAAATGCCAGGAATCTCTCTCGCAGACGGGAGCATGTTTGTCAGTTTTTTTCTGAAGAGACTGACTGGCGCAGTGGTCTATACACTTATTCTCAGAAGAATTTCCATAATTTTCCACGCTTACAAAAAAATATACAGAGTGTTAGTTGCTCACTTAAGCAGGCAAGGGTTAAAACTTTTAATACTAACATTCAAACACTCTCAGCTTGGAGTGGTTGGCTACTACAGGACAACAGGGGAATTCTTTCTGGTCTCAGCTAACAGCAGCACCATGGTCTTATATAATATGAGATTGGGGCGAGAGGGAGGGAAGGAAAATGCTCTTTTTCTTCAAGCTGTGAGCATTTCCTTTCAGAATGAAACAATCTCAATGAGAGAAGGGCCATTTGCTGACTTCACTATTAACTACCACATACTTCAAAAAAGTATTATCTCCGAGGCTACGGAGAGGAGAGCAAAAAATGTGGCAAAGTCAAGAAGAGAAGAGGCTTTGTGCATCTCCTCCTCTTTGATAGCATATTTCTTCATCAGCCTGCATGTTGCAACTTCTGATTGGAGCTCATCAAATGTAGGGAATGCTTATTTATACCGTTTCTCGCTCCACGCTGTGAAGCTAGCACACTGGAGCCAGGCGGTCCAAAAGAATTGAAGAGAGTGGAAAAAGACCTGCAAGGCCAAAGCATGTACATGACCGGTGCCTGGAACACTCCTCAGGAACCTGTCACTTGTAGGGGATTAAGCCCTGCCCATTTTTAGTTTTATTTCTATTTTAAAGGAGAGGGGGTAAACATCACCGCTCTTTCCAGAAGAATAAGCCAGTGAAAACGGCTTCCTGTTTTGTAAGCAGAAAGAGGGCAGTCAGGCAAAGAAATAAAGCCATTTCAACAGTTTAAAAAACTACAGCTGTTCTGAGCCTTCCTTTCACAGGCAAATTACGCAAACGTGTTTGTGTGTATTGATAGATGCACGAAGTTCTGTCCACTAATGGTGCAACATGTGTGTCTACAGCAGGCAGAAAACATATGGGACACACATGCAATGTGATTTCAACCTCAGAAATCAAGCCTAACTAGTTTAAGCTGAGGGTTTAATTGCTGCTTCTATTCTTGTTAGAGGTATGGACTCCCCTAATTTGACTAAATACATTTTTGTATTTTGTAAACTATTAAGAAGAGATTGTTATTAAGATACTCAAGAGCTTTGCTAATTTTAAGAGAAGACACAGACTCTTAACTGTAAAGTCTGCAGAAACTATTCTGATTTCCAGTAATATTCACACAACTCAGCCTGAAAGATCTTGCACAATCATTCTGCATCAAAGCAGCTGCAGAGCACCCTTACTTAGCCAGAGAACAGGAGCACAAGCAGAAGCATTTCAATTGCTGCTCTATGGTAACTGGTATGGCTAATTCCATTAAATGCTCTTCAGTCCTCAACACACCAAACCGTGACAGGATGGTGTAAGGAACTGAGGCAATTCCTGTAGATGTGGCAAGCAATGCGTGGAAAGTAGCACTTTGTACAAAATCCAGAGGAGGACTGGGGACAGTTCCTGTCCACACGTATTCACTACCGCAGATAAGCAATAAACCTCAGTCCTAACTTGCATCTGACTATGAACAGGGCACGATTGTTGCCTGGAGCATACCATCATGCCAGGGTGTGAAGAGCAGACCCTGGGGAGAGGCAAAGATGACGAAGCCATGTCACTTGTGGGTTGAGTCAGACTGGAGTTAATGGTCCAGAGTTGAAAGGCTAACAAAATTCCCTCACTACACCATTGGCAACCTTTTATTTTGTTTTCAAATAACTTATCACATAAAGCAGTGACAGAAAAGGGTTAAGGCATTAAAAAAATTAAAAATCAAAATGATTTATATGTGAAACACTTCTGAACATGCCCTCTAAGTACAGTAGATTTTCCCCTTGGAACCACACCCTGTAAGTGCTGTATTTTGAGAGCTGAACAATTAACATAAGGCATATGAGTCAGTCTTTGAAAGACTCTGTGGGAACCAGAGAGCCTTTTGCTATTAGGAGTGATGTAAACTCCCTAAGGCTGGAATAAGTCCACAATAGAAGGCAGAGAGAGTCATAAATAACAACAATGGGCACTCCATATACTACTAAGACACTCAGCCATTATTGGTGATACTTCCTTTATTTTCTTTATTAGAGTTAATAATTTTAGTTAATTAAAAAAAATAAAAAACACTGTCTGTTTTGGGAATACTATTTATTTCCTATGGGAACTTCAGGACTTGTTAAAGAAAGAAAAAAAGCTAATCTGTTCTCATCCTGTCTAGTAATCCCAAATTCCTTTTAGGCAGTGAAATAATTAAAGAAAAATATTCCAGGCATAAAAAGGAGGACAGCAGAAGCAGACATCATATAAACAATGACACCATGACAGAGAAAAACGTCAAAGCACCGCCAGACTTGTGACTTGACTCTGAAAGAGCTGCAGGGAGTGGGATTGCTGCTAACAAATTAAAACCACATTTCTTGGCAAATTGTTAAAGACAGACATATTTACATTTGTATAGAGACTGGGTGGGCACAAAAGATTAGAATGCTGCTTTAGCCCTTGAACTGCCAAGTTCTATTAGAAATATGTGCTCTTAAAATCCTAGGGTAAGCTCACTCCTTTTTGTCACTAAAACTCAGCAAAGAAGAAGGGCCTGCAGAAATGAAGCTTACAAAGTCTTACTACCCTACCTGCTCATAATGCTGGCCTCTGAAAACCTGATTTTAAGATCCTTAGTACTTATCCAAAGAGATGTCTGGGGAAAAAAACCTCTGTTAAGACCTACAGAGAAACACGACTGTTAGGCACACAATACACTTGCTTTAAGGCTTATCAAATTGAAAATGCATTCTTTTACTATCTTAATCAACTTACTATCTCACTCAAAATGAAAAAGAAACCCTCAAAAATATAAAAGTGATGACTGCCATCTGCAGCTCTCTCCAGGACAGCTGAATTCAGCAACACAGCATTAAATGCCCATAAAAGAACTACTCATGGATGTGCACTTGTGAAGAATCCTTACAACTCATTATCTTCAAGAAGAGTGAAAGGTTTGGCCTTTTCAGCCTGACAATAATACTCATACAAATATTGAGTTTATTTCAGTCCAGGGTTTGGGTTGCTGGGCTGAAACAAAAATTTCCAAAGTGAACAATGCTGCCTCCCTTCCCGCCTCTCGCTTGGTTTCATACTTTTTTGTTGTCTCTTGCTACGCTCCGGATAACAGTTGCACATGCTTATGTACCAATAAAGTAACACTAAGGGATAATTAAATTTCATTTCTGGTTAACAAAAAAACCCACAATTAAAAATATACATTGTTTCTGAATTGCATTTTATCAATGTGGCTCAACTTGCTCATCAAAAATACTTAACAGAAAACATCAATGGGTCCAATAAATCAAATTTAGTATCAGAATGGCATACAGGAGAGGACTCTCAATATAATAATGTAGACGAAGCAACGAAATCAAATATTATCCCAGGAACACACACAAGTGAATAAAATGAAAATTAGCAAAGCTAATCAGACAGAAACACCTATTTAGGGGAGCTTTTTGTCAGCTTGCAATTGCATGATTTCTCTTAATGTCACTCTAAGCAGTATCATGAGCTCAACCATCTAAGATAACCTTTAGGTTTCAGAACTGTTCTAATAGATGACTGGCAGATCAAAGAGGTCAGACAGGACTCTTTCCAACCTGATAAACAGAAAAGGGTTCCTAAAGCAAGTGGGGAGGTTTGTCAGTGAAGGATGAATTGGATACTATAATCTAACTGATAGAAAATTGACACAGACAAGACTTGGGTTTAGTCTTCTGCACTTTCCCATCCCACATAAAGGAAAAGCTTCCCACAATTTCACGATACAAATTTTTCAGCGTTTGTAATGTAGTGATGCCTCTGTCCTAGCAATTCTACTTACGATCTCCTACCACCTCATCAAACATTCACAGAAGCTTCCCAAGTACAGAAAGGGACATTATTCTCAACCTGAAATACAGTTCCTTGATTAGACTTGCAGAATATTGGTCTACATTTTTAAATGTCCTGCTCTATATATCAGTAAGTTTCAGTAAAAAACATTAAGGATCATTCACGTTACACATGGGAGTACTGGTTTTTCATTTGAAATAGGTATTTTTAAGGAATGCTGGTGGTTTTTAAAAATCCATTCATTTCAAGATTGAAATTGGAGAAACCAGAGAAAACTGCATCTCTCTGGCGAGGAGCAGAATTGTATAACTTACATGTGGGCCTAGCACAGAAAGCAAAATCTAACTCCTGGATCAGTAGGGTCTTCATTACCTACTAGCAAAATTCATTTTGTCTTGACACCACGGATCTTAATAGTTAAGTTTTTGCTTGTCAAAAGTCCCTATGGTCTGTATGATTTAGTCCAAGAGTTGGCCTTATCTGTTACAAGCCCCTATGATATACATTCTACTTTCTCAAAATACAAGGTGTGAACCCGGGTTTCTCACTCGATACCTAAGTCCTGGCAATTCCAAACACTCCAAAGGCCCCCAAAGCATCATCCCATTAGCTTAAAGCATATGACTTCTATGAGGAAAATGCCTTCTTGCTTTTGAAGTCTTTTGTTTGGATTTTAATTATATTTTACATATAGCAGGAATCCCAGGCTAT